CATCCATCCATCCATCCATCCATCCATCCATCCATCCATCCATCCATCCATCCATCCATCCATCCATCCTGAGGTGCTACTTGAGCAAAACTTGCCAGTGTAGCCACAGGTTGGCATTCAGAACATCTCAGCCTTCTTCCTCAGATGGGCACCAAGTTGGAGGAGGTGGATTAATCAAGCTGGGAGTTGCTCCTCCTGTGGGACAGGAGCGGCCATGGGGACTGGCTGGACCGCCACACAGCAGAGAAGACCTGGTCAGTGGCGCTGCGGGCAGCTGACTTTGGAGGCCGAGAGAGGGAGAAGCAGGAAAGAGCTCCTGCTGCAGGCCCGGAAGAGCTGCCGGAAGAACGTTGCCACCAGAAGGACAATTCCAAGAGAACTAGCCTCTCTGGTGGCTTTTAGCGCAAGCTCTTGGCCAAGATGATTCGGAGAGTCCCTCTGCCATCTGCCAGCGCATCCAGGGTCTTCTGCCCTGCTGGTGGGCTTCCCAGGAACAGCTGAGAGGAGGCAGAGGACTAGAATAGGTCAGGTGCACCTTGGGTTGACCCAGGAGAGATCTTCTGAACACTACAGAAATATCCTATAAAATACCAAGCCATAGATCCAGAGGAGCAGTTTTAGGAGCGCTGACTTTTATTCTAGACATTTAGAAGTGTTACATAAAGTGTCATGATCAATAAATCTACTGAGGAAGTTAAAAAAGACACTGAGCATTTCAAAGTTGACTAACCTAGACAGAGGTATCTGCACTCAGAAAGTGAGGTTGTTGGAAGACAAAACATGGTCCCGAGGAGCACTTCCCCCTCGATCTCCACTGAATTACAATTCTGTGGCTCAAGACAGCAATAAGGCGCAGTGAAATCAGTGCGGATGTTGAGGGGTCACAGGAGACCAGACAAGGGAGCCCAGGCCCTAGACCCAGCTGCTGCTGTCACGGTCCCCTGCCTAAGACAGCCAAGCCATCGGCTGGTGCCCAGCCAGGACAGAAGCCAGCTGGTCAGCTTTTTGACCAGTCATACCAGCCGCCCTGGTACTGCAGCCACTCCCTGAGGTCCTTCAAAGGCCACACTGGCCCAAACATCACTTATCCTTGTGCACACTGGAGAACAGGGTTGCCTGGAAGATGGCACCACTGTTTCCTGCAGGAGGAGGTCTGGGAATCAAGGAGGGCTTTGTGGGCAGCGGGCACAGTGGAACATGAGAGTCCAGCCCAGAACTCTGCAGGAGTCAAGACTTTTCTGGCAGACTTCGGGGAATCATTCCCTCCCACGTGGAAGTTGGGTACACGGCCCCGAAAGCAGCAAGGCACCTGGGGCAGGATGGTTTCAAACAGAGCTGCAGTTCACGTCCCATTTCAGGCAGAAGGACACAAGGCATCTTTGCAGCACCTGGCAGAACGAGGGATCTCCCCCAGGAAGGGAGGCAAGAGCCAGCAAGGAGCCTCCCTCCCTTGTGCGTTCTCCGCTCTGCTCTGCTGCCCGCCAGGTCGCCTTTCAGAATACAAAGCTACAGCAAAGTCTTTCAGGGGCTGAGCAACTGCTGGGCTGCTCAAAAGCAGAGTCAGGGTCTCTTAGTAAGACCCCCCCTTAGAATGGTAAATGAATTTGTGTGACCCCACAGAAATTAGGCTAACGATTTCACTGGGGTTAGAGTTGGCAAGAAATGAACATAACTCTTACTAATTACATTTTAATTCCTGCATTCCAGGAGTTCTCAAACTTTGCACAAGCAGAACTGCCTGTAGCCGCGGTCCAGGCCAAGTGGACAGCAAAGCCCCACATAAGTTTTGGCCCCCACCTCATGATGCCCTGGGGATCGTGACCCACTGCTTGAGAACCCCTGACTTAAGCCAGTTAAGAGCATTCCCCGCAGAGTCCAGGATGGACGTGTGTCCGGACTCTGCCCAGGTGGGAGGTGAATCACCTGGGCCTATCGCTGTGTGGCTTCCCCCAGGCCAATGGGGTTGTATGGCATGACAAGCCTGTGGCAGACCAGCCCTTCCTCAGAAGCATGTTCCGCCAGTGCAACAGCTGGCCAGCAACTCCCTCCAGTTGCTCTCTGGGCCCAGCTGTGCTCGCACGGGACAAGCCTCTTCGCCAGGGGACTGGCTGTGGAGCATGGCCCATGCGGATGCAGCTGGCCAAGATGCCGAGGCGGGGCAAAGAGGGGCAGAGTGGAGCGGGACACCTGGAGGAGCCTGTCCCATCCCAAGAGGGCGTCTAGGGGAGTCAAGAAAGGGCAGGAGTGGGGAGGCCAATCTCCTGGCCTCACAAGCTCCCACTTAAAGGGCTGGAGGGCAACAGGAGAGGGCGGCCTCCCTGGCCCCAGTTCTCCCCAAGGAGTGGAGATCCGGTTCACTGCAGCACCAATCTTGGACTTCCTTGGGACCCTGCGACCCTTGCCAGCTCCACCGTCTGCTCTGGAAGGGGGCAGTCTCGGCTGCCTCTCTGCTTCGTTGCAGCCCTCATTATTCCTTAATTAACATACCCAACAAATCAATTAACTGCTCAGTTCCTAATTAAAAGCTACAAGAGATGATCATCTCATTATTATTAGCTGCTGAGGTGAGCAGCAGCCAACGTGCCACCCCTTCTCCCTCGTCTTCCCAATTATGGGAAATGACGAATGCAAATGCCGCCGTTGCTCCTGCAGATCTGAAGCTCCTTTTGTACATTAGGAGAGACGGCAAAATTAATTAGCTATTAGGCAAACGTGTTGCGAGGGCTCCACTTGCTGCCCCCGTGCATGGCAGCTCTTGACTGTTCTTGGAGAGCTCAGCTCTCAGCAGTGAGGGAGGAACACAGGCGGACAGAAGACTCCCAGCCGCGTGTCACCCGCACGGCCTGGGCCCTTCGCGCCTCTCCCTGGGAAGGCAGGAAGGAGCCTTTGGAGTGAGGGGCGGTTCGGGTCTGCCTGGCTGCAAGCACCCCTGGAATCCTCCAGTGGCGGTCAAGCAATCCGCTCGGATCAACCCGCTGGGTGAGAGAGCGCAGCCCGGTGGGCTTGGATTTCACAACCCAAACAGGTCCCCCGGCCGGGGTGGAAAGGGCTGCATCCCCCAGGAGAGGAGACGTTTGCTGCCTTCAGCCCCAGCTCTGCGACGGCAGGCACGGCAGGCTGGGCCCTCCAGCGGGAGATGCACGGCCCCGGCAGCAGAGCCGCAGAAGCCCTGCTCGTGAGAAGCACTGTGGCAGAGCGCTTGCTTCTAGAAGGGGGCTCCTGCATGCTGCGGGGGCTCGGACAGGATGATCTTCGTGGTACTTTCCAAACCGACCACTCTGATTAGGTGAGGGTCAGCGGGCCGCTCCCCGTAACCCCCGAGAGGCTTGGCTGTGCTCCACTGGCCCAAAATAACTTGGGAAGACAAAATCCAATTTCACACAGCTCCAAACTTAGGGGACTAACCTGGCAGGGGTCCGGTGAATGCAACACCAGTTGTGGGCTGCAGCACTCGGGTTGGGTGCCCAGAGGGGCTGGGACTGGGACTGGCTGGGAACCTGCCCAGAAGGTGCCTGCTCTGCCAGTGAGGGTGGCCGCCCATCCGCTCTGCCGGGAGCACCACCTCAGTGCTCGCGAGGCAAAGGCTGCATTCTCCCAAGGCCTGAACCAGCCACGTTTGCGGTTGGCACAATACACTGGCCTGAAATTCAGTCTCATTACCTGAGTTCCCACAACACACCAGCCAAAACAAGAGCAACTAAAACTAATGAAGGTTAAAACTAATGAGTGGTGCAAGACGCAGCCACTGAGCCTGCAAATTATCTGATTAACCATGCTGTGTGAGCTGAACTTGCACTTCCTGTGGCAGTTGGCTGTGAAAGCCTGCCCTCCCTTCGTTCCTTCCTTCCCTCCCTCCGTCCCTCTCCCTTTCTCTCCTTCCTTCCTTCCTTCCCTCCCTCACTTGTGCACTGGGCCTGGCACACAAAGTGCCCAATGAAACCCGCAGCCAAAAAGGTCCAAGGCAGGAAGAGTTGGTCAGTCCTCTGAGGTGTTACAGGAACAGGCAAAGCTCGGCTTCTCCCCAGAAAAAAGGGGTCGGAGAAGCGCCTCTGGAAGGACTCCTCTTCCCGGGGCTGGAGTGAGCACTGCGTGCTGAGGACTGTCCCCTCCTTCTGCAGGCCTGGCAGGGAGGGCGATGCGCAGGGGCAGTGGTGTGGCCCCTTGGCCCTTCAACGGGAGCCAGTCCTGGTATTTGCACCCTTCAGGGTGCAAACTAAGGGATCGGGTGGGAGATGAACAGGTCACCCATTTCCTGTGGGGCAAAACAGACTTCTTTCAGCCCTCCAACCTCTAGGCTCTAGGCCTGTGATTGCTGCTTCCCCACATTCTGGCCCCCGGTGCGGCCGAGGCTCTGCCCCTGCTGCCTCCCCACCTGCTTACGCTCCTGCCCCATGATGTGCCCGGGGTGGGGGAGGGAGGCAGTGGGAAGAGGAGGGAAGAGCCCTGCCCAGGGCATCGGTCCCAAGGCTGGCCCAAGAAAAAGAGGTCCTGCTGCCCTCTGTTTGAAGGGCCCGTGGAAAACGCTGCTGCAGGAGTTCCTGTTCTCCACCCTGAGAGACTGCAAGCAAAAAACCCTGCCCCCAGCACAGAAAGGACGACCCCCAGCAGCCCTTCCGACAAGTCCACGTGTTCAATGTCAAACCAGATGAGAGTCGGAGAAGGCGGCCTGTGCCCGCGCTCCCCAGGGAGAAATTCAGTGGAATGCTGGTCTGGGGCCAGGGAGGCCAAGGGGGCCGTCACTGCGATGGGCTTGGACTCACTGCGGCCACCACGGCTCTAGTGTGGATTCTGTGCAGGGCAAGCGGGGAAGCTCCGTGCTGAATCAACACGGTTCAGGGACTGACAGGCCGTACCTGCCTCTTCTGCTTCACACGCAAGAGATTATTTCCACGCAGCTCAGAACAGCTGTGGCTCAGCCCTTCAGCAGGAAAGGGGGGGTCCCTCTACCCACAATGTGCAGCTGCTCTGCTGATCCCCCCCGATGCTCTGGGAACACAGCTCCCAGCGTGGCCTTTGGTGCCTGGGGACCCCGAGAGTGGCATCCCAACGCACCCGGAGGGCGCCAGGCTGGCCCAGAGCTCAGCAGAGCTGGAGGAAGTGCCAGCTGACAGACGTGCCACCAGGCCCCACAAGTTCCCTGCCTCCCACCCTCTCTTTTCTTTGTGCTGTTACTGTTGCTAATTGAAAACTTTAAATATTAATCTTTTCGACCAACGTGAGATGCCGGGTCTCAGAAAGTGTTAATTTACACTCAGTTCTTGATGGTGGGAAGATGTTACAAGCCGCAGCTTTGTCATCTTCTCCTCCTTCCTATTGTATTCCACATCCTCCCCCCACCTCCCTCCCCCCGCGTGGCGCTCCGGCTCCCCTCCTCCTTTCACGCCTCTCCGTGCCGCCGCCGCCGTCTTCCGTGCCAAGGGCGCCACTTCCACTTACAACCCTTTGTTGTAGATGACGGTCAGGCTGGTGGTGGCCTGGGCGATCTCTGGTTCCAAGCGGACAGTCTCAATCTGCCAAGAACGACAGTCACAAAACGGGTCAGAAGAACAGCAAGTAGGTCTTGGGACCAGAGGCCTCAGGGCCCGGCAGTCTTGCCAGGCCATGCCAGGGGCTGCAGAGGTGGGGAGGAAGGCTGAGAGGCGAAGCTCTTCCTCAGCGGATCGTACCAAGCCAGCCCACTTGCAATCTCTCCTGCTCACACCTGCCCAGGCCTGGCAGCTCTCCTGGGGCGTTGGCTTTGAGAAAGCGGCTTTGCCCCGCATCCTAGAGCAGCCCGCTGACTCCAGGGCCCAGCAGCAGCTTCCCAACGGCTGTCTGCCCCAGCTCTACCCAGAGATACCAGAAACAAATGGAGTGGAAGCTGGAGGGTTTCCGTACCAAAGCGGGTGATCTGCCCATCAGCCACAGCTCAGCTGGGGGTTGTCAGGAGTGGCCAGAGGGGGGCAGGTGATGCCCCAGAGTGGCATTTATGAAGACAGGTGCTTCTCCCAAAGTGGGAGGTGGGCTGGGACAAGAATGCCTGAGTGAACACGGCCATTCACTCTCAGCAACTCAGTGCGCGCCCTGTGAGGGCCGAGCGCAACCAAACGGAAGGCAGCTCCCGTGCCAGCCGTCTCCCTCAGGGAGACGTGTGCTGCCAGGGCAGGCACGCCAGATGCAGAAAGGCCCCCGTCCCATTCTACGGCGAGACTCGACCAGCCGAGGAACATGGCGGCTGCTGCCGGGTGGCCTGTTTCCCTTCTCCGCCTCAGACCAGCAGTAGGACCGTCCAGCTCCCAGCACCCGGATTCCGGCAGATCTCCCCGGAAGACAGAGCTGCTTGGCAGGCAAGCGGCAGGCCCGCGGGAGCCGGCTTCCCAGGCTTGCAGGGGAGCCCAGGAGCGTTCTGGGCCTGAGGCGACGCTCCTGCAAGGAGGAGCTGGGCTTCACCTTAAAGGCTGGGGGCAGCTGGGGCCAAGCAACCTGAGGGGCCCTGGCGCGCTGTAATGCAAGGCGCCACCACTGCAGGCAAGGAAGCCGAGAGCAGGCTTTGGGCTCCTTGTCGGGACCCAGAAGATCCCCCCCAGCCAGATATTCCCGAGGCGAAGGACACAGATGGCTTTTGAAGGCTCACCGAGGCCTAGTTGGAGCACTGCCTGAAAGCACCGCAGGGTCTTTATTTCACCGGCTTTTGTCCGACCTCAGGAGTCTCGAAAATTTTGCTACGTTTTGTGCATTAGCATCATCGTGGGATGCTGCTGCTTTTGGGCCTGGCTGGGCTGTAAGACCGGGGCGGGGCGGGGCGGGGCGGGG